AACATCTAGTCCAACCCCCCTGCCAACACAGGTCCACCCAGAGCAGGTTGCACAGGAACGTGTCCAGGCGGGTTTTTAATGTCTCCAGAGAAGGAGACTCCACCACCTCCTTGGGCAGCCTCTTCCAGGGCTCTGCCACCCTCAAAGCGAAGAAGTTCCCCCTCACGTTTAGGTGGAACTTCTTATCTTCAAGTTTGTGCCCATTTCTTCTTGAAATGGGACCAAACCATCTTCTTACCATCCTAAACAGCGGATAAAGACCCATTTCATTGCCTTGTAACTTCGATTTCATTAACAAACCAGACAAAATTCATAGCGTCGAGCCAGCACGTTCTCACTGGGCTTGAAACAAGAGTTCTCTTCCTGGTCCTCAGGCTCAGAGATGGCCACAGCACACAGCTGTCCCTGCTCTGCAGGCCAGCGGGAAGGAAAAGGAGGAGGACAAAAGTTGCATGCAACTCTTTACAAAGAGATGAAGTGTTTTGTGGCCAATGCAGACTGAGTTTGTTCCCTCCTTCCAGTCCAGCCCAACCAACACCCAACCTAAGCAAGCCTGGGAACTGGGGAGGCTGAAATCAGGGAATCACAGAATTGTTGAGGTTGGAAGGGACCTTTCAGATCATCAAGTCCAACCATCAACCTAACACTGACAAAAACACCACTAAACTATATCTCTAAACACCATATCTACCCATCTTCTAAATACCTCCAGGGATGGCGCCTCAACCCCTTCCCTGGGCAGCCCATTCCAAGGCTTAATAACCCTTTCAGAGTAAAAATTGCTTCCAATATCCAATCTGAACCTCCCCTGGTGCAACTTGAGGCCATTTCCTCTTGTTCTCTCATCTGTCACCTGGGGGAAGAGACCAACCCCTAGCCCCTCCAGTGGTTGCCAGCCAGGAGAAACTCCGGGTGAAGTCTTCTGAACAGGAGAGGTGCATCCCACACAGCACGGGGCAGCAGATCACAGCCACTGGCGCACAATGACGTCCCTTGGTGGACACCATCTTACCCAGTTGAGGTGGAATAACCCACTCTCTGGTGGGCATGGGCAGCCCCAGCCTCTGCCACCAGCAGCTCCCAGCCTCTGCCACCAGCAGCTTTGTCAGCAAACTGGGAGGAGGGAGAAGCGCGTTGCGAAGCCAGGCTCTGCTGCAGGAACAGAAAATGCATTGTTTGTAAATCAGACTTTGGAACAGCTTAACGCTTAAATACACCTTTGATTAATTAGGGCTTTGCAGGGCAGCACAGCTCCAGAGGGGAGACAACCCCATGGATTCTCCCCACCGCAGGTTTTGCGACAAAATAAACAAGTTTCTGGGGGCCAGGCTTGGTAGTGCTTATGGAGAAGTTGGCTCAGGTTCAAAGTCATCTCAAAATCCTGGTGGGGAGCAGCTGAACCAAAAATAGGGATAACATAGCACCTATAGAAAATGACCTTTAGAGAAATATTTATACACAGCCCATGTCTGATTGTCTGGTGAAACCCCAGTAGCTCTGACAGAGGCGCTTTTTAATAAGCACTTTCCAGTAATGTAAACCTTGGGGGTTTTATTTCTTTTTATTGCCATATTAAACTATGTTTTCAGGATGCTCAAACAACATTTTCCCAGCCGTTTTTTATGCATAATTACATTTTACTCCCTATGCTAATTTTCTTCCAGTAACTATCCCCTCTGGACCACGCAGTGCCTCGATCCTGATAAAGCAACTCGTTTCGTGTCAGCGTAACGAAGAACAGAATTTGGCCCGTCAAGGGGCAGTATTTCATCTCTCTCCCTCCATCTCTGAAGCTTAGAAGATCCTGTGGCGGTTCCTGAGTTTCACTGGGTAAATGCTGTCCGATGTTCCTGCATCGAAGTGAAACAGAGGACTGGGAATATTTCCTCTGGCACAAGAAGAGTAAGAGACAGAAAGAGCTACCGCCGCCGCCCCCCCTGACCCCACCGGCGTCTGAGCTACTGCCAAATACAGGCAAAAATCACAAACTGCTCCAAAACATCCAAACAGGTCACTGGTGTGAAGCCAGGTGGAATATCCAGGGATGGTTTCCGTATCACCGTCCATAGAACAGCCATAGCAAAGGCATCACTTCATCTGCTGTGTCAGGAATAGCGTCCCGCAGGCGCCTCGGCGTCCAGCCCCTCCTGCTGCGAAGCACAGCTCGTCCTTGACCTCCCGAAATTCCTTCCAACCAACGCTTCCCCCATTCCGTGATCCTTCCTCTTTTCCCGGGGCAGGGCCTTGGCCCCGCAGCTGCTGGCTTTGGAAGTTATTTCCCTGCCTCGGATTGACTCCCGGCCAAAGGAAATAAAGCTGGCAAAATCCTCCGGATCGCTGCCCGGGGCTTTATCCCCTGCCCGGGATAGGATCCTCTGGGAAGGATGTGGAGAAGGAGCTCAGAGCCCAGCAGCCCTGGGGACAGGCAGTGTTCTTATCTTCAAGTTTGTGCCCATTTCTTCTTGAAATGGGACCAAACCATCTTCTTACCATCCTAAACAGCGGATAAAGACCCATTTCATTGCCTTGTAACTTCGATTTCATTAACAAACCAGACAAAATTCATAGCGTCGAGCCAGCACGTTCTCACTGGGCTTGAAACAAGAGTTCTCTTCCTGGTCCTCAGGCTCAGAGATGGCCACAGCACACAGCTGTCCCTGCTCTGCAGGCCAGCGGGAAGGAAAAGGAGGAGGACAAAAGTTGCATGCAACTCTTTACAAAGAGATGAAGTGTTTTGTGGCCAATGCAGACTGAGTTTGTTCCCTCCTTCCAGTCCAGCCCAACCAACACCCAACCTAAGCAAGCCTGGGAACTGGGGAGGCTGAAATCAGGGAATCACAGAATTGTTGAGGTTGGAAGGGACCTTTCAGATCATCAAGTCCAACCATCAACCTAACACTGACAAAAACACCACTAAACTATATCTCTAAACACCATATCTACCCATCTTCTAAATACCTCCAGGGATGGCGCCTCAACCCCTTCCCTGGGCAGCCCATTCCAAGGCTTAATAACCCTTTCAGAGTAAAAATTGCTTCCAATATCCAATCTGAACCTCCCCTGGTGCAACTTGAGGCCATTTCCTCTTGTTCTCTCATCTGTCACCTGGGGGAAGAGACCAACCCCTAGCCCCTCCAGTGGTTGCCAGCCAGGAGAAACTCCGGGTGAAGTCTTCTGAACAGGAGAGGTGCATCCCACACAGCACGGGGCAGCAGATCACAGCCACTGGCGCACAATGACGTCCCTTGGTGGACACCATCTTACCCAGTTGAGGTGGAATAACCCACTCTCTGGTGGGCATGGGCAGCCCCAGCCTCTGCCACCAGCAGCTCCCAGCCTCTGCCACCAGCAGCTTTGTCAGCAAACTGGGAGGAGGGAGAAGCGCGTTGCGAAGCCAGGCTCTGCTGCAGGAACAGAAAATGCATTGTTTGTAAATCAGACTTTGGAACAGCTTAACGCTTAAATACACCTTTGATTAATTAGGGCTTTGCAGGGCAGCACAGCTCCAGAGGGGAGACAACCCCATGGATTCTCCCCACCGCAGGTTTTGCGACAAAATAAACAAGTTTTTGGGGGCCAGGCTTGGTAGTGCTTATGGAGAAGTTGGCTCAGGTTCAAAGTCATCTCAAAATCCTGGTGGGGAGCAGCTGAACCAAAAATAGGGATAACATAGCACCTATAGAAAATGACCTTTAGAGAAATATTTATACACAGCCCATGTCTGATTGTCTGGTGAAACCCCAGTAGCTCTGACAGAGGCGCTTTTTAATAAGCACTTTCCAGTAATGTAAACCTTGGGGGTTTTATTTCTTTTTATTGCCATATTAAACTATGTTTTCAGGATGCTCAAACAACATTTTCCCAGCCGTTTTTTATGCATAATTACATTTTACTCCCTATGCTAATTTTCTTCCAGTAACTATCCCCTCTGGACCACGCAGTGCCTCGATCCTGATAAAGCAACTCGTTTCGTGTCAGCGTAACGAAGAACAGAATTTGGCCCGTCAAGGGGCAGTATTTCATCTCTCTCCCTCCATCTCTGAAGCTTAGAAGATCCTGTGGTGGTTCCTGAGTTTCACTGGGTAAATGCTGTCCGATGTTCCTGCATCGAAGTGAAACAGAGGACTGGGAATATTTCCTCTGGCACAAGAAGAGTAAGAGACAGAAAGAGCTACCGCCGCCGCCCCCCCTGACCCCACCGGCGTCTGAGCTACTGCCAAATACAGGCAAAAATCACAAACTGCTCCAAAACATCCAAACAGGCCGCTGGTGTGAAGCCAGGTGGAATATCCAGGGATGGTTTCCGTATCACCGTCCATAGAGCAGCCATAGCAAAGGCATCACTTCATCTGCTGTGTCAGGAATAGCGTCCCGCAGGCGCCTCGGCGTCCAGCCCCTCCTGCTGCGAAGCACAGCTCGTCCTTGACCTCCCGAAATTCCTTCCAACCAACGCTTCCCCCATTCCGTGATCCTTCCTCTTTTCCCGGGGCAGGGCCTTGGCCCCGCAGCTGCTGGCTTTGGAAGTTATTTCCCTGCCTCGGATTGACTCCCGGCCAAAGGAAATAAAGCTGGCAAAATCCTCCGGATCGCTGCCCGGGGCTTTATCCCCTGCCCGGGATAGGATCCTCTGGGAAGGATGTGGAGAAGGAGCTCAGAGCCCAGCAGCCCTGGGGACAGGCAGTGGGGATCCTGCCTCCCTCCCTCCCTTCCTTTCCAGCCTGCTGGGTGCCAGGGCTGATGCAAGGCACGGACCAAAAAGCCAAAATTGAGACCTGGAGAAGAACCACACGTGTCCAAAGTACAATTCCTTCATAATTTGCCTCCTGACATGACACAACTGTACCTCCTCCTCTTCCAGGCACCGCCAAAAACCTCCTCTGAGGAAGCTTTTAGGCAAAACAAGAAAACAAAATAGAACTAGCCCATATCACTTCTCACTAACACTTCATTTTCAGACCTAGTGTTTATTCCCTGATGCCCAAAGAAGGAGGTTCAGCCCATTGGGTTTAAATTCTTTATTTTAAAATGTTTTCACAAGTAGCAAAAGTTTGGGGTTTTTTGAGGAGGAAAAATCCACAGAACCGTTGACTATTTGCAGAATAGTTATAAAAACACACAGGCTTCTCCAAAGGTTTGTATCAAGATAGAAAGTAATATAAATATAGACATATCTATATAAAAATAAACAATTTGGTACCGATAGATTCAACTAGGACAATCTCAGTGAGGGAAAGAAACAAAATGGAAACAAGAAATGTAACATCACACTTGTGTAAATCCCTTTTTTAAAGGTGTTCAAAATGTTGACCTTCCACTGAGTGTGAAAGAGAGGAGGAGAACCACAACCACAACCGCCACCGAGACGTGTTTCCTACCATTCAGTTTTTGGATCATTCATAGATGTCACACTTCATAAAGTCACCGTGACAAGAAAGATATGAAAATGCCAGAAGTGCATAAACTGGTTTGGTTTTTTTAACATAGAAAAGGATACGTATTTAAAGCACATATTCTAGATTTTAGGGCCATTACCTCGCTTTGCCCCAAAATAATCATTGTTTCCAACTGGAACTGTTTGCAGTAAAGCAACTGTCCGACCACAGTAATACTTGATGGCATCTGAGCCAGGAGACAGAAGGGCCAGGGCACGGAGAGCTGGGTGACGACGAGATCCCGACAAAGCACCGACATCTTTTACAATTATTTGGAATGTTGGATTTATCTACTGGCAGACAGGAGGTTTAGAAATTCAACTTTTGGTTTGGCTTTCCTGTGCAGCAGCAGCACCTTCCCTCGGCCATCACCAGGTCATCTGCTACCAACATTAATTTTGCTGCTATCGTTTTTATATCATTTGCAACACCCATCAGGACTCGCACAGAAGACACCACATGAGGTTCAATCATAGAATCATCTAGGTTGGAAGGGACCTTTCAGATCATCTAGTCCAACCATCAACCTAACTCTGACAAAATTCTCCCTATTTTTGGTACAGCCTCCTTAGAAGAAGGTGCGAGGGGCAGCAGAAGAGAACCCACTCCTTTTCTCCATCCCTGCCACCTCTCCTGCATCCCACCCGTGCAGGATCCTCCAGGTGCCAGCGTGGGCCATTGCCTCCCTCTAGCGTCTGCAGCGCAGCCTCCGCTCCCCACCTTAGTTACCAGAGCCCTTCCAGCTCCTCAAACAGGAGGAATCTGGTTTAGTCCTGCGAGTAATGACCCATAATTAATGTTTATAGACACTCCAGAGTTAGAATTCACCAAGCCCCAGGAGCGCCTGGGGATCAAGCAGCCTCCAGAAACTCTTCTATAATTAACATTTAACGATTATGCAGAAAGCCCGAGGCAAGCAGCTGTCTCCACTTCTGCAGGAGAGGCCCGAGGGCAACACGACATGAAATCCAGACGTTTAGAAACCCCTCATCAGCTTAACTTTTTTCCTCCCGTGCCCACAGACTTCTCACTTCTTCTGGCAAGATGGAGAGGTGCCATTGTCACCTCGGCACGATGGCAGCAGTTATATTTGTAGGAGGGACTGAAAAACACCCAGCTCATGGGCCTATCCGAAAACAGCCCCTGAAGCTAAACGAGAGGTGCATGAACGAGCTTCAGTGTGAGCAGGTCAAGGGCTTGGCCACTCTCAGCCAGAAGGAACCAGCACCTGGAGAGGACTTTGCAGCACCCCCAGTAAGTTCATTGACACGCTGGGTGAGGGAAAGGCAGGAGCACCCCCTTCTCTCTGCCCCTCAGCCCTGATAATGCCTTAAAACAAATCCAATTGAAAAAAATAAAATAAAAAAATCACATCCAGATGCAAATGTAAACTAGTAAAACATTAAGCTGTAAAATCAACACGAGGCAGTGGCTGAAGCAATGAACAAAGTGGCAGAGTTCAAGCAGCTGCAGATACTAAGCAGGATTCCTCTCTTCCCAATTTAAAAAAAAATAAGTATTTACTGTAAATCTGTTTAATACACCAACGGGTTGCTTTAAAATGCTACTTTGAGCAGAACCCACTTCCCACCCCAAGCACTGAGAGCTGAGGAGACCCACTGCTCACGCTGCAGAGTTCAAGGCTAAGCACAGAAATATCAATGTTACAGGAATATATTAATGATTGTGGTGGTTAATTAAAACATGCCCTTTCCTATTAAAGTAACATTAACCTTTGTATTTTTAATACCCCAATTGGCAGTTTAATACACTCTTTAGTCAATATTTATCCCTGTACCTTTGGGAAACATCCCAAAAGCCAACATGTTTTAGAAAGCTCTTAAAAGTGAAACAATTTTAGATCTGGACCCACATAAGTGCTCAGCTCTGTTCCTGGTCAACTCAACGAGCAACAGCATCCGCACTTTGGGTAGTAAGGACTTTCACTGAAAATACATATTTTAAGACTAAATTTCTACTAAAGAATGGCTCTATTGTAAACATTTAATATGACAGACATGACCCAGCATGGTACCAGAGTGTGTCGAGTGTGTCTTTCCTTACACTTCTTGCTTTCAACGAGCAAAAAATAACGTCAGAAAATCCGAGGGACTGCCTCAGAAAATACTAGTGACAAGGGATTTACCTTTTGAATGAACACGGGACAGGAATATTGTGGTATAACAAGGAGGAAAACATCCACCAAATAAACCAAGGTCAGTAACTCTGCATTAGTTATAATTACAAGGATAATTACTCTAATTTTGCAGATGTTGCTAAGGATAAAAGGAAAATCATTCGAGTTTTTGCAGTGCTTTAACAATTAAAATATGCTTCTGCTTTTCTCAAAACCAAGACCAAAGGAAAAGGAGCGTGGGCCGAGGAGACCCCACAGGCATCCCCCTGGGCTGCCCAACAGCAGGGCTGGGCAGGGGACACCATCCTGACAGGGACAGGGCTGCCAAAAAGAAGTCATTCTCATGGCACTGAGTGTTCACAAAGCAGGGAAGAGGGTCTGAAACTTCAGTTCCTGCAGATCACCAGGCAGCCAGGGGGTTCCACTGGAATTTTAAAAAACACACCAACAACCTTAGGCACTACTATAAGCCATTTAGCAGCTTTTAAAATAGTAGAAAATTGTTTAAGAAAGCTTGCGGTTTCAGGTCTGAGATCTTATTAAATGCTTACAACAGAGCCTTCTTTTATTAGACACTCAGTCTTTAAATGCGTATTTTCTATATTTTCAATCAAAGTGCTTACTCCACAAAACGCTGGATGCTGTTGCTCACTGACATGAACAGGAACACTCACACAGTTGTTTTATTTCCCCTTCCGAGATATAAAAAAGTGCTATTTGCTTCTGGTCGCAGGCTCCAAACAGGGATTGCAAGGATCCGGGCTGTGAAGCAGTAAAAGAACCCTGTGTGAACGACACCACGGTCCGAAGGCACGGCCAGGACAGGTCACAAAAAAAGCCCTGAGCTCCCATGACACCACATCACGGCAGCATGAGGGATTTTGCAAGTCTCGTCCAGAACCATTTTTTGGTGCAGGGATTGGTGTAATCGCAAATCGTGATGAACCGTAAGATACTTGGAAACTCGTTCTTCATGGTTTTGCACTTGACTGGAATGAGCCGTTTGAGACGAGCACCTGGAAGAGAGGTCACGGGGGCAGAGGGTTACCCAGAGCCACGGTCACACCTGGATCCATCCCCTCCCCACAGCAGGACACACACCACGAGATCTAGGTTTGCTCCTGATTTTGTGTCACCTCATCACAAGGCAACTAGTGCTCACCCCGGAGAGCAAGTTTTGGAATCCCAAACCAAGAACATTTCTGTTCTGCCAAGAAATTTCACTCGAGTAGGTAGCAGGGCCCCATCCAGCACGTACAGAGAGGCTCGTGCTGATGGGAGTGCTAAAGGCCTAAGGGATGAGGTGTAAAAGAACCATTTCTTGTGGAAGGCAAACAGGAACTGCTTTTCTGAGGTGTGCACAAGGTGAGACAACTCTCCCTGGGATTGCTACTGCTTGAAGGAACAGCTCATCTAAAGAGGAATCTCTCCCCTTATAATTCTCCGTAAGGACACCTGCTACCACCTCAACTGTGCTGCCCGGTGCAAGGATGAGGCAAGAAACCAGGATTTCATAACTGCAGCAGATGTTTAAGTAATCCCTGGAGCTCCCAGGACTCGCCACCAAACCCTTCTGTGCATTAATTACCCCACACAACCACGTAACTGTGGCATTTCTGTAAGCCTGTACTTACACCTGGGTTTTTACTGGTAGGGCTCAGGTCATCGCAGATGGGCATTCCTTTTCCTGTTGTGCTAATGAAAGGTATGATGCCAACAAAAAAAAAAAAAATGGGGAAAAACTAAACAGACTTTGCTACAAATCTGGATGACTGGGGGTTGACGTGTCATCCTAGAGGTGTTTAGTGGATTAATGGCCATTGTTTGAAATGATTATGTCAAGGAAGATGGAGCCAACTCCTCTTTCTGTCACTGGCTTCCAGTTTAACCTCTGGCATGTCACTTATAAACCCACGTCAGATACCTCATCTTAAAAAGTGATTTTCTGCAAGTACAGACACTCCTGCTGCCATTACATATCCTCCATGCTTTTGGGCTGTGCTGCACTAACTCCCCAGCAACATACACGAGCGCAGGATAACTCCTGGTTAGAGAAAAGCAATCTCAACAGACCTGACAGAAGTAAACTGATGGCTTTTTAATTCAGAACAAAATAGGTAACAGATTTTTTCCAATCCAAGCGGAACATTCATTCCATGTTTTGTTTACCTACCCACAATACTCCAGGATTTCTGCAAAAAGCTGCATGTTCATTACCTGCTCCCCTATTCCCAGCATCTACTCACACCCTGAATTTATTCTAAACCTTCTCTCTTTAGTAGCCTGTATCCTGTATGGATCTTGAAGTGTCTGCCAAGCCTGGCATGGAGCTGCACCCTCTGAAGCAGCGTTAGCCCCCTCGACAGCTGGAGCATGGAAAGCTCAGCTCCTTGCTCATGGCAGGGCAAGGAACCAAGCCCAGGCCCCTGCCCACACGATGGAATCCTAAAGCCACCCTGACTTGTAATGGCTTCTTCTAACAGTGATAAATCTCTGTTTGCTCAGTGAAGGGCACGACACCCTGTGCCTGGGTGGACTTTCACACACAGGAGATGTACGTCAGCGCTGAGAACTCAGGTCTGCAACCAAGTTATCGGTTCAGTTATTTATTTTCTCCTTTCTCATCCATATTTATCTAATGTTCAAACCCATCTGAGACTACCCTTCATTTCGCAGTTGTGCAGCACTGATCTCAGCTGGAGATGGTACTGTAATAAAAAAAAATAGAACGTCGATATGCAATTTTAAATGGAATTATTCGTGAGGTTCTTACCTGGGGAAAGACTAAGAGCAAATTTGGTCTGAAAATCACATTCATCGCTTTCCAGGTAATCATCTGAAATGACGACCACCATCCTCCGACACCTGAAGATGAAGCAGTCAGGGGAGGACGACCACCATCCTCCGACACCTGAAGATGCAGCAGTCAGGGGAGAAAGAAAAATAATAAAAAAATCAAATGTCAACAGAGGAAAAAACAAAAAACAAACAAACAAAAAAAAATCAAATGTCACCAGAGATGCTTCTCATTCCCAGTGGTAGAAGTCTCTATTCCTCTGAGTTGCTCCAGTGCAGAACTGAACCCGCCAGCTGCGTTCCAGCAGGAATTAACTACAGGGGAAGGACTACCAACAGCCAGAGAGCTGTGTTACACACAAAAACCTGATCACTGATACACATTCATGTACCAAAAAATGAGAAAATAGAGAAGCCCAGATTATCTGTGCAATCTTTGATCCCCTGTCTATAAATTTCAAACAATGCCATCTTAATTAATCTGCTTACACACTGCCTTTACTGACTGAGCATAGCCGGAACTTTTTAATATTAGAATGAACTGGGCAGAGCTTTATTGCACTCATATTGCTGTGAATTCACCTGGTTTCATAAATTTGAGTTTATTCTCCAATGTGTTGCTTACATTCATTGGAGGTGCCTGGCTGTAAGCTGTATTTTAGGCTCTTTATGGGCTCCACAGGCCACTGCTTCCTCTCTCTGCACCAGAAGCACTTTCTTTAGGTCAGTCTCTCTCTGGGGAGTCAGTTTGATGTCACCCAGTCCACAAAGGTTTGAAAGACCCTTGAAGCCAGCACTAGAGCCAACACCAGTGCTGTCCCCTCCACCTCCAAACCCTGTGGTGGAGCTAACTCGGCCTGGAGCTGTGCTCATTTCCAGATCACCTCCAAGGATGCCACTGCAGGATATTCCAGCCAAAGAAAAGGGATCAAACGTAAGCAGCACGGCTATGGGGGCATCTTCCTCGTGAACACAATGAAGCAACATGTTTGGGAGTGCTCAAGTCTTCATTCTTGAGTCAAGAGCATAAAGCAAACCCCACAAAGACATCCTCGTGGATTCTACTGCCTCAGGGTAAAATGAACACAATGTTCCATGTGCTCAGCTGTCCCCAACAGCCATGGTTCACCTACCTCCTCTCAATAAGTTCTCCGCTGATGGACCACACACACGTCCCTGGCAAGACATCGCGATCAAACACACAGAGCTTCAGTTTGAACTCGGTCTGTTCCAGCTCCCTGATCATCTCCTGGACAAACTGAAGGTCTTTCTGACAGTAGCAGATGAAGGCATCAAACATCTCCGTTCCGTTCCCTGAAACCATTAAAAATTCAGCTGTCATCTTCTGCTATAAATGAAGTTAGCTCCTGTAGTGAACTCTCACCAGCTCCCGTGGACTTTCACTCAGGATCAGGAGCTTTGACAGACAAGCTCTGGCCAAATTTGCAAAGGTAATTTAACATTTTCCCAGCCCATCTATGCTTCAGTGCAGACTCCTGTCCATAACAGGAGGTTCCAGGAGGCACACATTGGTGCCTTCACCACTGTTTCACAGTCCAGGACCACTGTTTCATGGTCCAGGCTGTTCACCTAAACCCCCCCTGACTGGCAGAGGGGAGGGATGGGTCGCTGAGATACAGACATGCAAAATCTGCAGGGGTAATAACATCCAGCCATGGGGAGTCAAGGGGAGACAGAGTCTGGGAAGAGCCCAGGAGGGAGCAGAGTATCCCAGAGGATTCAACTCACAGCCCCGATGCTGGAATTACACATCTGCAATAGCCTCGTGGCTTTGGGTCCCAGTTCTCTAGTTCAAATCGTGAGGATTCAAACTTCCCAACCAAAACCTTCCTGCAGGTCCCTCATCCAGCAACATCCCGTCTACTGAGCTACGAGGGAGGCCTTGAAATTTGGAACCTGCAATTTTTATGGCTGTCAAATTTGCACACCTGAAGTCATATCCTAAGTAAATGGCTCTTTTCAAGGATGTTAATGGTTGGCAGCTCTTGTTTATTTAGCAGTTGTCCAAATATTACAGTGCTGTCCTTTAAGGGCAATGTCTCTTATAATTAAGTGCCTTAATACTGCTGGATAGTTTCCCACTGTGTTATTTGTTCTTTCATGTCAATACGTATATTTTCAAGTTTTTATGTCAGTTAAAGCCTACCACAGGGAAAAAAATAGGTCAGGCTTTAAAAGCTGCTGAGAAAAGCATCAACCCTTGGGCACATCCAGCCCAAGAAGCATCCAGTCAAGCAGAAGGGAACCCGCCTGCCAAGGCCAATCCAACCAAGGGAACCGCTTTGGGGGCACAGTGCTAATTTGGGGGCCACATCAGGCAAAGCTGGCTTGTACAAACACCCACATATTGGTCGATGGACATTTGGGGAGGGTTAATGATGTCCCCACGTACAGCAAAGGTGGTCACCCAGCATCAGACCAGCCAGGGGAGCAGCTGAAGAGGTGAGCAGACACATCTCTTGTAATTCTTTCCTGTGAGGGTGGTGAGACACTGGAACAGGTTGCCCAGAGAAGCTGTGGATGCCCCATCCCTGGAGGGGTTCAAGGCCAGGCTGGATGGGGCTTTGAGCAACCTGTGTAAAGGGAGGTGTCCCTGCCCAGGGCAGGGGGTTGGAACTGGATGATCTTTAAGGTCCAACCCAAACTATTCTATGGTTTGATGATCTCCAGCCTTGGCTGCTGCACGCAGAGCCCAGGAAGCACACGCAGAGAGAAACGTGTTTCCTCTCTCCCCTCCGTTCTGTGCTTCAAACCCTGCTTCCTTTCCACTCAGAGGTGGTTAACTCTGCTGAAGAGCAGGCAGCACAGCCAAGACACTCAGCTCCAACACCCCCCTTCACTCCAGACTTCCCAGGGTTCTGGCCCAGGCTATGAAAAGCCACGGGGAGCTGTGAAAGGTTTTCTGAGCTTCTCACAGGGATCTGCTACAGCTGAAGGCAATTCCAATGTAACTGTGGGTTCTTACCGTAGGGATCGTCCCGGGTGGTGATGCCCATCAGTTCTGACGTCCTGGGCACGCTGCTGTCTACAGCTGGCACCTGAAGAGGCTGGTCGGCCTGTTGCTGCTTCCTCTGCAAGTACTTCTTACAGTCCTCCTCTGCAAAAACACAACCAGCACGACAGGCTCCTGTGACGGCGGTTTTACGCTGCGGAGCCCTTCAGCAGTTTAGGAGTAAGAGGAATAGGTGTCTCACGGATCAGGGATATCAGAGGGAAAACCCCTGTCTGGTTTTTGGTGCCCATAATGTTGGATCTGAGGTCCTGGAATTTCTCTTACCCCTTGTTGAACCTCTTGATGCTGCCTCCACCACTTCCTCGAGCAATTAATTCCTGAAGCTCACTCTTGCTGTGCAAAGAAGCACTTTCTTTTATTTGTTTTAAACCAATCTTTTCCTATTCTCCTTAACTCTAGTATATCCCAGCGCATCTTAAACAGCACACATCGTGTGTGTAACAGGCCTCAACTCTGTCTGCTCTCATTCTTATGCATTTTGGAGTATTTAAAATCATCAAATACAAGGAAGTCTTTGTATTGTCTTTCACTAATAAACACAGACACACACAAGCTGATTCACACCATCAGCCTTCGTCAGGCAGACCTGTGGGTGACGATGAGTATGGCCACTCACCACCTGTAAAATTCTATCTATAAAGCCCCTGAAACTTGCTTTATATTGTCAAAAATATCGTAGAGATCCTCCTTAGCTCAGGCAGCCCTTCCCCCTGGGGTCACTGAAGGGCAAACAGGCCCCTCACGTTCACTGCTGTCAGCTTCCCGAACAGGACAGTGATGGACACAGATCTATTCTGAAGAGATTTTGTTTAAAAATAAGTGATAAATCTAAATGTAAAATTATTGGAGAAGTGACAAGAAAGCCTGCAGCCTCTGCCACTCTGCGACAGGCGATCACAGAAGAACTTGAAAGCAAAAGGAGATGTGAAACCAGGAATTAACAAAAAGATGAAACTCCCTAGAGCCTTTTCCTTTACTTAAGATTAAAAAATGAAAAAAAAACCAAGTAGCAATCAGAAAAGCCCTGATCCCTCAGAGGGTTAGGCTGGCACAGAAACTGCTGGTACAACAGCAGCAGAGTAAAGGGTCTCCTGAAGTACAGGATGCGGGTGGGAGCCCAGTGGTCTCTGGTTGAACACAACCCGAATCTTGTCTGCGGGAAGCTCCACTCCTGAAGCCCCATCCTCTGCTTCCACCTCAGCTTCGTGTCTCCTGACTGGATTATGCCCCAATCTAATAAAGCACCAGATCTCATCAGAGCTTTTCCTGAGGCTGAGGCATTCCCGATCCGCCTCTCTCCTCCCCCTTCCTCCCCAGCCCTGCAGCAGAGAGAAGAATCAGATGAGTTCTCTACCAGCCAGAAGGTTCAGATCTTCCCTCACTAAAGCACAACCTCAGGTCCCCGCTCTCCGCCGGCTGCCCTGAGCCCTGCACGTTTCGTGTCAGGTGAGGCAGCACCTTTGAAATCATCAATTCAAAGACCAAGCTGATCTTTAAGGTCCCTTCCAACTCTAACCATTCTATGATTCTATTCTATGATTAAAACTGCTCTGAATGGACCAAGGGGTTCAGAAGCTCCACGGAAGGACTGGCGCTCAGATGCCACCTTCTAGGTGCCACGGTCCCCTGGGTACCAGGTTCACAAAATATTGCTGAATAGGCAAGAACAGGCCATTATTTAAAGGGATGCTGATACGTGTGCTCACTACAGGAGTGTTCATTTTAAGTGTATTTCCTCCTTGTCCTCTCTCCTTGCTTCTCCCAGCTCCAAAAGCAGCACCTCTGCTGGCCTGACCTGTAACAGGCCATTATTTAAAGGGATGCTGATACATGTGCTCAGTACAGAAATGTTCATTTTGTGTATTTATTGGAACTCCATAATCTTTAAGGTCCCTTCCAATTCTAACCATTCTATGATTCTATTCTATGATTAAAACTGCTCTGAATGGACCAAGGGGTTCAGAAGCTCCACGGAAGGACTGGCGCTCAGATGCCACCTTCTAGGTGCCACGGTCCCCTGGGTACCAGGTTCACAAAATATTGCTGAATAGGCAAGAACAGGCCATTATTTAAAGGGATGCTGATACGTGTGCTCACTACAGGAGTGTTCATTTTAAGTGTATTTCCTCCTTGTCCTCTCTCCTTGCTTCTCCCAGCTCCAAAAGCAGCACCTCTGCTGGCCTGACCTGTGTCTGTCCAGATCTCATCACCACACCACTTGTGACTGACACACACGCTCGTTAACACCAGCCTTCCCCTGATTCATCTCATTAAGCCCACGTGCACGGTTCTGGTGGCATCGTGCTGCAATCCCAGACCCCAGTCATCCCCACAGGATAAACCCAAGACCTGGGCAGAGCTTCCAAAACAAAACACCGGAGCTTCCAAAGGGAGCTGCACCTGGAAAGGAATAACCCCCTGTGCCGGGACAGGTTGGGGGTGACCTGCTGGAGAGCAGCTCTGAGGAAAAAGATCTGCGAGGAAAGAGCACAAATGCATCAAAGCAAAGAGCTTCCCAGCCCTGAAGATAATGGTACAATGAAATAAGCTGCTAAGAAAGATCCCCCTTAGGGCAGATCTGCTGGGATGGAAAAGCTGCATCCTGGAGGTGTCTGTGCTCCAGCGGGTGTAACAGGGGAGCTGCCCGACGCAGCCCCACGGTACAGAGAAAGCAGAACAATCTGAGGCTGCAGGAGAGGAGACACTGATTTTTAGCATCCTAAGCACAGCCAGGAATGGGGCACCCAACAAGAACACAGGGAACTGGTTCTGCTGGAGAAACCACAAACCAAACGTGTCCTCTGGAGCCGCACAGCACCGTCGAGTTGTGTTTAACGGGGATGCTGCATCCCGAAGGAATGCAGCTCATTTGCCCCCATAAAGACATCATGGGGGGAGACCTTATTGCTCTCTACAACTCCCTGAAAGGAGGGTGTAGAGAGGTGGGGGTTGGTCTCTTTTCTCAAGTCACAGGCGACAGGACGAGAGGAAATGGCCTCAAGTTACACCAGGGGAGGTTCAGGCTGGAT